GTCGTTTGGTCGTACCTCACTAACCCCCCTGCCGGCCTGGTCGTAGGCAGCCATCTTGTGAGGGCCTGAGGATTAATTTGCATATTACCTCTTTATTATATAAGATTAAAGTCCTTTTTAAAAAATAAATTAATAAACTCTTTATTATGCCAGTATTTAGAAAAAGATGCATTTACAAAGTCATTGGGTAAATACCAAAATTCAACCAAAGGCTGATTTCATTTTGTTTGTTTTGTGATTTCTTTACTACAAATTCACATCACCTAAATTTCTTTCACATTATGCACTATTCTGAAAGCTGTGCTGGAGATTTTGAGAGGGTCTTGGGAAGCAGCATCTAGTGTTTGGGCACATCCTGCTGTCCTCTCTTTCTGGGCACATGCCGGAGAATTCGATTTCCACACCTCCCTAGACTGGTTCTGTCAAGAAGTTCTGAACATGGGGGAAAGGGAGGGTAGGTGTAAAGGTGAAGGGATTAAGAACTACAAAGTGGTAGTTATGAAATAGTCACGGGGATATAAACTATAGCATTGGAAATACAGTCCATAATACTTAAGTATGTATGGTGCCAGGTGGGTAAAAGTATTGGGGGGAACACTTTGTAAAGCATATGACTGTTGAACAGATATGCTGTACACCTGAAACTACTACAAAATAATATTGAATGTGAAATGTGATTAAAAACAAAAATTAAAAAAGAGGTTCTGAGCAAACCTGTCTCTTCTGAGCTAGAGCATTTAATCACTGGCTCAAGACCCTGCAGCTCTGCTTCCCGTTAGGACCAAGCCCGAAGCAGCAGAGGAGATGGCACTGCCAGGTGCTGTGCAGAGAGACTCTGTGCAACGGAGCACCACCGACTGTCTGAACCACTGAGTGTGAGTAATTGTGAACATTTATTTGCTAAGCCATTGAAATTTTGAAGTGATTTGGCACCTCACTATCACCCTAGCCTGCCTGTCTAGTATATAGCTAATATTAATTTTGAAGCAAATTTTGCCTGACTTTCAAGCTTATAAATATGACAGCAAAGCCTAGGAACAGGCCGCATTTGAGATCTAGAAACCCTGCCCCACTGTTTCCTGAGCATTTTCAGAAAAATACCTGTTAATACATCCAAAGGCCAAATGGCTTTAGAAAACAGAATCTTACCTGAATCAAAATCTCCATTACCATTGGCTGAGCTGGGATGTTTCTCCAAGGGAGAAGATGAGGGGTCTGGCATATTGGTAGCTGGCAAACTGCTCTCCATTGCCAAGGAAGAAGGATCTTCTCTTAATTCATCCTGCAGAAAGAATTACCTAAGGGCAACTGACAAAGAAAAAAAGAGTCAGATTCACGTATTTTTAAACTCTCCAAAACTAACAGCATCCTGTCAGAGCTGCTACTATTTCATTATAACGTGCAGGATGCAATGTAGTAATAATACAAGGTACCAAGAGTCAAGACTAATGGGTACACGTCTGCACAAGGTCAACAACAAAGGTCACAGCTGAGCAAAACCATCAATTTTCTACAAGTTCTTATCACCTCACCACTAAAATGGGCACATTTTTCATCAACAAACAGAATCCACGTTTCAACCCCCATTCAACCCTGGAAATGTTGGCAAGACACTTCTCCACCCAACTGTTTCCTCCTCCCTCACTCAATGCTGTGAAGTGCCAAGCCCGTCTCAGCCTCCGCATACACACACACACATACACACACACACACACATGCACGCACGCACACGCACACAAGAGGTCTGGTGTCTCCCAGGCAATGGTTACCAAAGCCAGTTAAAGTGTCAACGCTTGTACATGTGAGCTTTGTGACCAATTGGAATTTTCCTATAACAGTATGACTATTCCACACTTGCCTGGGAGTTCTGACAGGACTGGTAGTAAAATAGGTGAAATTACGGTCGGTACGCACAGAATCCTATAATCTAACTCACTTATGTCACATCCCATAAAACACCCAGGTGCAGTCATTACTAAGGGTCAACCATTCACAGTTCTGGTGGTTAGACAAAGCCAGATGCAGGGTTTTTAATCTTTCATTTACTCAGTGTTCACTTTTATTTCACATGTAGACAAAAGTTCAAATCGGCAAATGGACAAAAATAGATGAAGGAAAAGACTAGTACATCGATAGCTACGTAAACAGGATATTTTGTCACACACATACTGGTAAAGTATCTTTTAAGAATACCATGCCCGATACACCTGATAAGCGGTTAATTTCCAAAATATATAAAGAACTTATATAACTCAACAAAAGGAAGACATACAATCCAATAAAAAAAAGGGGGGCGGGGCGCTGAGGACATAGACACTTCTCCAAAGAGGACATACAAATGGTCAATAGACATATGAAAAAATGCTCAACATCACTAATCATCAGAGAAATGCAAATTAAAATTACAATGAGATATCACCTCACACTTGTCCAACTGACTATCATCAATAAGTCAATAAACAAGTGCTGGCAAGGATGTGGAGAAAAGGGAACACTTGTACACTGCTGGTGGGAATGCAGACTGGTGCAGCCATTGTGGAGAACAGCATGGAGTTTCCCAAAAAAATGAAAAATGAAACTGCCATTTGATCCAGTGATCCCACTTCTGGAAATATACCCTAACAACCTTGGAACACCAATCACAAAGAATATATGCACTCCTATATTCATAGCAGTATTATTTACAATAGCTAAGATTTGGAAACAGCCCAAGTGCCCATCAGTAGATGAATGGATAAAAAAGCTGTGGAATATATTGTGTGAATACATTCATACAGTGGAATACTATGCAGCCATAAAAAAAGATGGATCTCTTACCCTTTGAGACAGCATGGAAGGACCTGGAGATTATTATGCTAAGTGAAATAAGCCAGTCAGAGAAAGATATGTATCACATGACCTTACTTATCTGTGGAACCTAATGAACAAAATAAACTGACCAATAAGTCCTGAGGCATGGAGGCATGAAACAGACTAACATATTTCGGGGTGGGAGAAGGGGATGAGAAGATAAAAACCAAAGAACTTATATACTTATATGCATAGCCCATGGACACAGACAATAGTGTAGTGAAGGCCTGGGGGGAAGGGGGAGGGGTTGGATAGATGGGGGTGGAGAGGAATGGGAGAAATCTGCAATACTGTCAACAATAAAAATATATCTATATCTGTAAAAGGCCAAGTGATCGACCATACATCCGTCTGATCGTCCGACTGACCAACTAGCCGGTACATATGACACTCACTGGCAATTTAAAAATAAACATTGACTAGTGCATGTGCGCTACATATAAAGCTCTCGCTGGCACCAATCACACACAATGCCAGAATGTATCTGAAGTCCAACTATTGGCACTTTGTTGTTGTCATATCATGTTGTTGTTGTTTATTTATTAATCAATTTATCAATCATTGTTTTTATCAATGTTGTTTTTATGTCATGTTTTTGTTATTTTTATATCATGTCTTTGTTGTTTTTATATCATGTTGTTATTGTTTATTTATAAATCAATGTATATATTATTTTCATATACATTTTACTAATTTTCTTTCATCTCTGACACTTTTATTATAAAGAAATGGAGAATAACAATATTAAAATATTTTGTATTTTAATTTTATAATACTATATTATATATACTATTTTGACATGTAATTTTTTGCAGTAATGTAATTACCACACAAATCTTTCTTCTAATTAATTTCCTTTCCATGTGCATGAATCCATGCACGTGGCCACTAGTGTGTGTGTGTGTGTGTGTGTGTGTGTGTGTGTGTGTGTGTGTATTTAAAATTTTTTTTAAGGTAAAAGTAAATACACCATGTTGCATTTTCTGCAAAAATCGACCATGCCCTTTTTAAAACACACACACACTCACACACACTGCACATTTTGGTGCTCTTTGGATTACTTCCCTGAAAAATATTTTGAGGTTTTGGCAAAATTAAAAGAATGATGTAAGCCTAAATAGAAACTGGGTTTGTTTTTTTTAATAATTCAAAGTTAGCTCATATCACTAGTGAATCATTCGATAAGTTTCGTTTCTGAAACCCCCCGTCTATCCACTTAATGAACAGATGGGTTCTAAAACTATTTACAATGGAGGACAGTGGCAAACCCAGCGTTAGAATATTGTGGCTGGTTAATTTTACCCCACGGACATCAGTTTGCTAAAACAACCCACAGGATAATGGACAGAACTGCATACTACTAAGAGCATGTCTTCACCATTCCTATTACGATACAGACACAAATTCATAGACAGCTCTGCTTTGGGGGATTTCCTCCCCAAGGGGCTGCACACAGTGGCAGGAGAGGCTGCCAGGCGACTGGAGAGTGTCCTGTCCCATGCTGGGATTTCGCCAGTTTATCACTATGGCCCCTGGTACCTGAGGAGCATCGCCGATGCGCTCTGCAGAGAAACCACTTGATGATGAGCAAGTGGCCATCCAACCAAATACCCAACAACCCACAAGCATCCACTGAGAGAATGCTCACAGGGAGCACTGAGATGTCATTAACACCCACACCCCACCCAATGACACCAACTGTGATGGTGAGTTTCCAGATCCCTCCATCACTAGGCAGGGATACCACATCCGCTGACCCCAGGGGCTAACAAGATGGCCTGGACAAAGAAAAAGATAGAGGGCGGCATGCTCAGGAAAACTCTACCTTCCACCACTGTCCACGGGGTTATGCAGGAATCACCAAGAACTTGGAGGGGAGAAGGACAGGTAACTGAAGAGAAAGGGTAGGAAGTGGAACACTCGGCACAAACAAAATACCATAGACTGCCCTGATGGAGAGTACATCCTACTGGAGAAAGCTCCAGTGCATCAGAAAATTGGTAAAGTATACAGTATGGTAGAAGGTGATAAGTGCTGGAGGGAAAACTAAAGATGGAGAGAAGATACAGGTGAGCATGGGGTTATGATCACTTAGATGGTGGCCAGGTAAGACCTGAGAGAGTGATATTTGAACAAAGACTTGAGGGAGGGTAGGGAGGTAGGAGGAACCCAGATGAGAGTGGACAGTTTGCCAAAACAAGGGCCCAAACCCGCATTTCACTCTGCAGACAGGACTAGACACCGTGGGATTTCATTCCAGAAGTGAAATGATCAGATTTGTTCTAGAAATACCACTCTGGCAGCTGCATGCCAGACAGGTGACAGACAGGGGCAAGACCAAATGGAAACAGAGACTAAAAACAACATGCAGATGAAGGTCTAGACTAAGACAGTAAAAGAGAAAAGGAGGAAATAAGGTCATTATGTTTTTGAAAGGTAAAATCCACAGGACATGGTAGAAACAACCCAAGAATCACCCAATATTAACAAAATGCAATCTTTTTGTAGCATGCAGTCAGGTTCCCAGAATAAACTACTTCACTTGCCACAGTTAGCACTCAGCAGCTAATAGAAGCTATGCAGTGCCTATGGAAATAAACAATTCTGGAAGAAAATATATTAAATATAAGAATGACAAACTACTTCACAGAAATTTACTTTTAATGGAATTGCAGGGGAGGGAGACAAATCTTATTAGTGACAACTGATCTATAAGCTCTGCAAAATAAAAACAGGATTTTAAAAAGCAAATCCTTTTCCTAACTACAGTACCCTAATCCAAAAAAAAGGGGCTATTTTTAAAAGGAAGTAAATTTCCTTTTGATTCTTAAAATATATGTAATTTCAAGTAATTTCAAGACTGAAGGTAAAAATATCTATTCTTGAAAGCAGCACTTTTCCCGAAGACATGAAAAGAAGGCTGGGAGGGCTGGATTTTTAAGGGGTCATTTCCTGTTTTGTACAATACACTTTGTGACCTTGTGTGAAGTTAATTCTACTATAATTGACTCCTCTTGTCTCTAAAGTTGTTGAACCACAGAATTATAGGTCTAACCCGCCTTTCAAGAAGTGGTCTTGGCTCAGTGACAAGAACAGTGTACTTGGAGAAAAAGGAGTTACAAGGCCACTAGCTGTGTGACTTAAGCAAATTACTTAACCTCTCTGTTCCTCAAACTTCTCATCAGTTAAATAAGAAGGCTTAATTAGATGCAATCAATGGTCTTTTCAAATCTAAAATTCTATGAATCTACCAGGGCTTTTAGTATTAATTGCATATTTTCTGCATTCAGATTATCTGTTTATCTGAACCAAATACAATAAGCACTGGCCTCCTATCATTTGAGTATTCAGAGAAGAAAGCCTCGTTAAGAAGGAAATGGATAAGAAAGAACACTCATTCGATATTCTAAAGTGAATCAGAAGTTATTGGGGGGCTTAGTTTCTATTTTGAATTGTCTCTAGACCAGGGGTGGGCAAACTTTTTG